TGTTTAAAACATGACAGGAACACAAACAGAAAATTAACTAATGTGATCTTTTGTGCTCTCAGTCACTGTTGTGCTGTTTTAACTGATATTAATGGTGATCATCTATCAGTCGTTTAATGGTTTTTCACTCTGTCTTTACATCTGGATGAAAGTCATATCAGCACATTTAAAAAAAATTTTCCTTTGGACATTTTACTCGATGGTGTCAGATTAAGTCTTCATTCATTCACACATCTAACCACAGTGAAGCAGCAGCATATATTCCCCCTCACCTGTTACTCTTCACTCGTACACATTTGTTCTCACACTTTGATCATTAAGCACCATCTTGAACTTAACAGTACTGTATTTGCTGTTATCATAAAATTCTTTATGCACACATGTCAGTTATGAAAAGCAGCCAGTTTGAACCAAGCTTTAGCTGTCAGACAGATGGCCTCACATTTGACTCTAGAATCGAGGGGGGGGAAAGCACGGCTCAACAAATTCACCTCAGTCCACCACATTTCCCCGAACTGAGAGGGAGTCCTCTTGAGTCATTGCCAGCGACATGTGCAGCAAAAATCTGAGAATGTATGCTTGGTCAAGAAATCTTCATTGTACCCAACATCCTAACTGTTATGGTCCTGTGTCGCTGACTCAGCGTTTTGAGTTTATTACTATTATATTCTAGTTTCTTCTGATTTTGTATCAGTCCTTAAAGTTTTTTTGGTTTTTCTGTCTTGTTATACCTGCCCGCGCGCTCTCCCGGCGTTTTGTTCATGTCCTTGAGTGTGTGATTGTAAAACTGTGTACTTCTTGTTTTACTTTGAAGGTCTGTGTCTGTTATTTCTGTGTTTAGCTTGTGTCTTCCTGTCATCACGTGAATTAGGGTCAGCTGTGCTTCAATGCCTGATTAGCTTGTGTGTGTATTTATAGTAGGTGTCGGTCTGTGCTCTTTGTTGGTTCGTCTGCGTTTGACGGTGTTTTGCTCATTGTTCTGCGTCTCGTGTCATGTTTTCAGGTTTGTCTTTAGTTTTCCCAGTATAGGTTTTGGTAGCTTTTCATTCCTCGTTCCCAGTTTCTGCCACTTTGGTCACTTGTAAAAAAACACTCACTCACATCACAGCCTTTGCATGTTGCATTTTGGGTCCCTTTCTCCACAAATACCCCAGGGCTTGCCTCGGCAGCTGTGACACTAACAACAGAGGGTTTCCATTATCCCCCAAAAACTGTTTGACTAACTCAGCAAGTTGGAACTGAGTACCGCTCTCTGCAGATACTAGATTTCCTGTCAGAGGCCTCAGTCCGTCCAAATTGGCGACAACCTCTCCAGCACCATCAGGCTGAGCACAGGAGCTCCTCAGGGCTGTGTTCTCAGCCCACTGTTGTTCACTCTCCTGACACATGACTGCACCGCTCTACACAGCTGTAACCACGTTTGCTGATGACAAAACCGTGGTTTGGACTCACCAGCAGCAACGATGAGTCAGTGTACAGAGATGAGGTTCAGCAGCTGGTGTTCTGGTGCAATGAGAACAACCTGTCACTGAATGTAGACAAAACCAAGGAGATCATCGTTGACTTCAGGAAGACTCTCTCAGCCCACACACCAGTCAGCATCCAGAGACTGTTAACAGCATCAAGTTCCTGGGAGGTGACATCTCAAACGACTTCACCTGGACCACCAAACCATCTCCATCATTCTGCAAAGTCTCTCCAACTCTGAAAGTCTCTGTGTGGTCAACAACAGACACATTATGCCCATGGGCATAATGTGTCTGTTGATATAAACGTAAACACAGAGCGCAGACCTGACGAATCAGAATCAGCTTTCTCTTTCTTGGCTTTCTCACCCGACGGCACGTCTGAGTGAGAAAGACGTGCCGTCGGGTGAGAAAGCCACCCGACGGCACGTCTTGTGCAGTGAGATGTCTGCTTTCAGACAGTGAGATGTTCAGACATCTCACTGATTCTGATGCGTAGGCGGGTCCACGCTTTGTGTTTCCAACCAAAATTGACTGAACCAGCAGCAAAAGAAGCTGAAGATTCAAACTACGCTGCACATTTGATAAATGAGGAAATGTTGGTCATTCATTTCCTCCTTCATTTCCTCACTTATCAAATGTGCTCCTCAAGTAGCAGGAAACGGTTGGTCATTCATTTCCTGCTACTTTTGCTGTTTTGCTTCCACCACGATAAAAATCACACTTCCTGCACAGCTTTTTCTCTCCTCTCTCTGTGTAATTTAAGAACAGTTTCCCATTTAAAAAGCTCAATTTTCTGCATTATTCGCTTGCTTACTACCCACCAATCTACCGTTGTGTACAGCGCTGTTGGCCGCTGTCTTTTTTTCTTTTCTTTTCTTTTCACTTAAATGACGTTGGACAAGAAAGCCTCATTTCTGCTGTTGAATAATGGAGAAATGTAAACTTTTTCAAATTATGCAAAATTGCAATACGCTTGGCTGCGTCTCCAATGAGACCTCTGTAACTTTGCTCTGCTTCACTTCAGCAGCATCAGGGAATGTTTATATGTTGATTCGTGTTTTTATTCAGTCTTTGATCTACTGCAGAACATTTTTAAGGTTATCTGCTATAAAAAGCCAGGGCAGCAAAATCTCCTTCATGTTTTTCTGTGTTTTATCCTCAGTTGCTTTGACACAAAGGCATCTGCTGTGATGCTCACACCTCTGATGAAGTCTCACATGTATCAGTGCTAATAAATGATCGGAATTATAATATTTCTGACTGAATCGAATCAAATCAGGACCTTGTGAATCGGAATTGAATGGATTATAGAAATCAGTGACATCATCTCCAGTGAGGACAGAAGTGGTGTGCTCTCTCCCCCACTGCCTTTCAGTGGCAGGCAGCAGAAAACAGGTCATCAGAGGAGGCTGAGATGATGATGATTGTCTAAAATATTGCCAAAGAGTGCCAAAGCACCTTAAGCACCAGCCCTTTTTCAGTAACGTTTCTTGTACAACTGTGCTCCAAATAAAGAACTTTGGGTTGACAAGATTGTTAGTTAATCATTTACAAATCAATATTGTTTATATGGACAGCAAATTTCCCCCCCAAAAAAGTGCACATGTAAAACTGCGGTGTTAAGTGACACGGTTGAAAAATGTGGGCGTGCCTAACTTTTGTGCTGGTGAGCCTAAGAAAAAAGTTAGGTGCACCAGTGCAACTGTGGCAAAAAGATAGCTGCTTTACCCCTGTTAAAGGAAACATAAAGCAGTTAGCTCCACAGCAGCACTCCCACACAGCCTTCCTTATGACATGAATCACTGTGGTTTACACTGGCTGCCTGCTGGGGCTGTGCTGATGGATGTTAATGCTGCAGATCAGTGAATAAATACAGTGGGCAACTAGAGGCGGGAATCCCACAGCCCACGATAGGCTCTTATTACAATACTTCCCTCATGATAGTAGATTAATGTGATTTATAGTGTGGCTACACTGATCCATCAGACTCATTATCATATCAGTGAAAACAGGAGGAGCATATAGATTTCTGACTGTCTGATTGTGAAATGAGCGCATACTGCATTTGCATTTTATGTGTGTTATTAAGTTTTGTTTGTTTGTTGGTGTGCATTTGTGCTACAGTTTTGAGAAGTGCGACCATAAAATCGTCAGCCCTTTTGTAAATATCAGCGTTGAAGTATTTATACCCCTTAAACCTTTACACATTTTGTCACATTACAATCGCAAATGTTTTTTTATTGAGATTTTCTGTGATGGACCAACACAAAGTAGCACATAGTTGTGAAGTCGTACAAAAATATTGGGTTTTTTTTATTTTATTTTGGGCAAATAAAAATCTAAAAAGTGTGCAGTGCATTTGTGTTCAGCCCCCTGTACTCTGATACCCCTAATTAAAATCCAGTGCAATCAAGATCCTTCAGAGTCACCGAATTAGATAATAGAGTTGACCTGTGTGTCATTTAGTCTCATTATAAATACATCTGCTCTGTGAAGCCTCAGTGGTTTGTTAGATAACATTAGCTAATAAACAGGATCATGAAGACCAAGGAAGTCACCAGACAGGGATAAAGTTGTAGATAGGTTATACAAAAATATCCCAAGAGCATCTCAAGCAGCACTCCATCATCCAAAAATAGAGAAAGCATGCTACAACTGCAAACCTACCAAGACATGGTCATCCTGGTCAGAGAAGCTTCCAGGAGGCCCATGGTCAGTCTGAAGAAGCTGCAGAAATCCACAGCTCAGGTGGGAGAATCTGTCCACAGGACAACTGTAACTGTAAGAGTGACAAGAAGAAAGCCATTGTTGACAGAAAGACATAAAAAGTGCAGTTTACCATGAGCCATGTAGGAGACGCTGCAAACTTGTGGAAGAAGGTGCTCAGGTCAGACGAGACCAAAGTTGAACGTTGTGCTCTAAATGCAAAGAGCTAGTGTGGCAGAAAACGTTAGCTGAAAAACATGACACATCTCAGCTGGTGTGCAGTGTTTCCTCAAAAA